TTTAAAATGTAGAGTTAGTTAAAGCAGTAAGCGAGTGATAAAGATTTTTTTTTCCTCTCAATTTTAAAAGGCAGCTTAATGCAGCATAAAAGATCTGCGTTTATGAATTCATTTGTCTCTATAACTCTTTTTACACTAAAGGAATTCTATTCTGTGGAAGACCTTGCCTTTTCTGGTACTGCTTAAGGAGGACCATGGCTGGGGCGACATCAGCTGAAAACTTACCCCTTAATACCCTCTGAATTCCTGCAGACTAGGAGCTCTTCCTTTTGAACCAAGCATTTATCATTGTTTCTATTGTAGGAGTGACATTACAGATAGCTGAAAATATAAAGCTAAGATAAAAGAAGGAAAATCACCATAAATCCCGTGACTCAGAGATAACCACTAGTACAATTTATTGTATAATTTCAGGCTTTTTTCTTTTATGTGGATTTTTTCATCTGTAAAAACGAGCTCATATTATGTAATATTTTGCAATCTGATTTTCCATTTAAAGGTACCTTATGAATGTCTTCAATATCTTTAAATATTCTCCAAAATAGCCATTGCAATACTGCACAGATGTCAATTTATATGACAGTGAAAACGAGACTATGGAAAGGAGACAGAGAATGCTGGGCCAAGGTAGAATATGAGCTCAGCAATGGCACAGAAATGTGAGCTCTGCAGATATCCACTGAACGAATGAATGGATGAGTGCCACAGTGCCTCCTCTCGGCTAGTTAAATCTTAATGCAGCTCTTAAATTACTACTTTAGGACAAATTATGGAAAGGGGTCAAAAACAAGGCATGGCTCCCAGGCCCTTTGGTAACGACTGCATGGCACTCTTGTCCTCCAGAATCATTTACCAAGTTGTACTACGCCAGATACTTTAAACCTTAGATTTTTCTGAAGAACTACTTCAGAGAAAGGGGCTGTTTATCTGAGGAAACACGGTAAGCCCGGGACTGGTGGGAACTCTGCTCCATGGACTTCCGTGGGAGCTCTGCTCCTCACCAGGCCAGGAAGTACGCTGAAGTTTGTTAAACAGTAGTGTGTGCACTATTTGGATGCCTTCATTAATCTGCCCACAGACAAACATACTGGCTCTCAGAGAGTCAAGACTCCTGGTGACTGTTCGTGTCTCTGAGGCATACGTATAAAATAGTGAAATGTAATTAGAATGTGTAAAACAAAGATCTGTTGCAAAAACACCACCTCATCAAGAGCTCAGGCCTGGAGAGAATGAGACAGAGGCTAAGAGGTTCATGTGAGCCCTTGGTCACTGTCTTTCTTGCTTAATCAGAACGCAGAGGCTGGGGTCTGGTCTACTAGTTTAGAGCTGAGGCTCTCGGGTCACACAGCTAGTCACCTGAACCAGGACCTACCAGCTGCTTAGCTCTGTGACCTTGGGCTGGTTATCTGATTTGGGTGAGTTGACATCATTCTTTCTGCACAATGGAGAAGACAGAAATATCTTCATGAAGATAGTTGTTAAGCTTCAAGAAGACAATGGGACAGGAGCTGCATGAGACTGCTTGGGAGTGAGGCTGGAACACAAGCATATATTGAATAAACATCAGCTATTATTCTTTTATCCACTACAAATGCTAATGAATTATATTATCTTAGCATCTTTAAAGTAAGTCAGAAGAACATAAATATCACTTGCTTGGTGCATAATTTGGATGAATCCAAACTGAAATATGTCCAGCCATGCTGTATTTTTAATTCTTTCTTTAAAAATTTTAAAGAATTTATTATTTTTTAAATTTTTTTAATTTTTATTTATTTTTTTTTTTTACAGAGGTTTTGGATTTCCATTCATTCATTGCAAGAATTTATTATTTTTTGTGTGTGTACCGTCAAATGGGATCTGACTGATACAGGAGGAGATTGTCCCTCCTTCTCCAACATCTGGTGGATTAGAACCACGCGCCTCTGGGACTGCAGTGCAGCTTCTTGCCACCATATCACCAGAGCTCCCTGTATTTTCAATTCTTTGTGCTTGGGTACCCCATGGCCGCCTTGAGGAGGAAAGAAGGGCAGTCCCCTCCTGTGTGATACACGGCCTCTGAAAGGCTGCTGCAGGGTCAGCTAGGAGCGGGTTCTGACCCAAGGGAAAGGAGTGCGTGAGTGAACGGACAGCTACATTTTGGAGGTCACACATACAACATATGTAAAAGGCTACCCTTTAAATTTGGTCATTATTATTTAGTATTGTTTCGAAATGAGGGCTTGAATGGTTTTCCCCATTATTGGGTAGAAGGATTAAAATGGCAAAAATCAAATAATTAGATATATTTATTATATGAGTCCTTGGATGATACAAATGGTTAAATACACTTTCATATTGTTGTTGTGTTATTATATACCGTCAACTCAGACCTGAGCCATAGCTGACCCTTCAGCAGGTTTTCAGAAGCAATAAATTGCATGGGAGGTGACTGCCCATCTTTTTCCCACAGAACAGCTGGTGGATTTGAACCGTGTGCCTTCAGGTTGGCGGCACAGCTCCTTATCACTAGGCGTACTCCAAGCCAGACGATTAGTGGTGGGAATCCACCCAAAGGCACCTTGGGAGACAATGTTGGTAATTCAGTTCTGAACGATCACAATCTTAACCCTACGAGACATTCTCCTCTGCTCACTGAGGTGGTCGTGAGCCGGCAGAACTGACAGCAACTAACAACAGCAGCCACATACTAACTAGAATTCTTTCACCTCTGAGAAATGATAGCAGGACTGTACTGTTAGCACAAAGTAACTTACTTTGTGTTCCCATCTCTGGTTTACCAGGATTCAAGCACTTATTTAAAATTTAAGACTTAACCATTTCTTGGTATTTGGACATAAGGTGAAAAGGAAATAAATTTAAAAGAAGCTTTTAATATAACCAAAACAATTTAAATCAAGTACGTGATTCAATTCATGTATAGCAAGACACCGTTCTAGCAACAGGTGTTTTCTGTGTACATGGACATGAAAAAGGCTTCAAGGGCTCAAAATATTATCAGAATATTAAAAAGAAATTAAACATTTCCTTTTTGAGCCTCCTAACACATACCAATATGTTACTGCCTTTGAAAACCAGCTGGAGGGTCAGCTATGGGTCAGTTCCAACTAGATGGCACACAATAACAACCACAACACATATCAGATTCAAAGTCATTGTCGTTGAGTCAGAACAGATTCATAGCTGACTCTCCAGTGGGTTTTCAGAGGCTGTGAAGTGCATGGGAAAGGATGCTCATTCTTCTCCCTTGGAGCAACTGGTGGAATCGAACTACCTGCCTTTGGACTGGCAGCACAACAACTTCTTACCCACGAGACAACTAGACTCCTTAGGTATATAAACTCAACTCATGACTGTCGAGTTGGAAATGACACAGAGCTGACCCTCCAGAGGCTTTTCAGAGGCTGTAAGTCCCATGGGAGAAGACTGCTCACCTTCTCCCTCAGAGCAGCTGGTGGATTTGAACCACCTGGGTCTGGGGTGGCAGCACAGCTCTCTACTCACCCACCTATTCCTAACATCTATAGGTTGGTGGAAAAAAAAATCACTGGGGGAATCACTAAGGAAAATGTCATTTACAAAAAGTAAGTCCTCACTTCCAAAGCGTGCACGATGTTTTATTCTATTGAGTGTTATCCAGGCTTCTTCTTCCTGTTGTTTGTAGACAACTCATAGTGACCCTATGAACGAAAGACCTGGACACTTGTATAACTTTCATTGTTTCTCCAAGTTCACAGGGTTCCCAGAGGCAAGCTGTTTCGGAAGTGGATGCCACTCCTGCTTCCAAGCTTGTTTTAATCGGGAAGTTCCACCAAACACTGTCCACCATGGGTGACCATTATCACATTTGACTCATCAGTGTCAGTGTTTGGCATCACAGCAACCACGAGTCACCTCTGTACAGCAAGTGGACAGATCAGGGCTATACGACCTAGAAGAATGTTTGACCAACAACAATTTGTCCAGGCTTAGTGGCAAAAAAAGAACACGCTCCTCGATTACACGGACTACACTGTAGCCTACACTGGGCTTCAGAGAAGATGATAGAGGAGTCAGATAGACAAGGATGGTGATCAAACCCAAATGTTTCTTTCCTTTTTCTTTGCTTTGTCTGATTACTCCACGTGCTTTCCAACAAAGTAAATCACTGAAAAATAATCTTTTACGGGGAATTGTTTAAGAAAAGGTTTTGTTCTCTTTTAAACCTTATTTATAAAGGTTTCCAGATGCTTATCCTCACAGATTAAACACAGTGTGATGTTGACGTTTTACAGTAAAATTCACGTGATGAAGCCAAGAAGAAACTTTGTTGAGCCCTCACTGCCTCTCGCCTCCAGAATCGGGGCCCGGGAGCGCTCGGTGCTATGAAAGGGGCGATTCTCTGAAGCCTCTTGGAAACAGCCTTGATTCCCAGCAGCAACACATCCAGCCTGCACTACGTCAAAGCACATCAAGGGGTTGGCATGCCAACCCTCTAACAGGTTATTCCTCATTATGCGGAGACAGAGTGAAAGGAGGTGGGCAAAGAGCAGAATGGAAGTTGAAAGCTGACTTCTGAATTTATTACCCAGCCATCCTGGGTGAAAACACACATTCTAATTTTGAGAGACAATTCCAAAGCTATTGAGTGTGTAAAGGAGGCTCAAATGAGAGTGAGAGTGAGAGAGAGAGAGAAAGAAGAGAGAAGAAAGAAGTGAGAAGAGAGAGGAGAGGCAAGAGAGAGCGAGAGTGAGCAGGATATTTCCAAATTATTTGTTCAATGTGAATGGAGCAGGCTTGCCAAAAATGAGTTTCTGTGCAGGCATGTGATCCCGGAGAGGGAAGGGAAGTGGGCCTGAGTCACTGGCTACATCAAAGGCAGCGTCCAGTGCGTGGCATGACTGCAGGCTGCGTGAGCAAGCCAGATACCTGCATTCATCTGCCCACTGCTGGGATTTCAGGCCTCCTTTTAATTACTTTAAAGCAGCTGGTACCACTGCTCACTGAAGTCTTCAGATTACCTTGATTGCTCGGTCATTATCTCTAATCAGCTGCTTCTTCTCATCTTCAAACTTCTGTGTAACATCCTGGAGCCGCCTTTCTGTAGCAAGCTGCTGCCGGCTGTTCTCTTCTTTCAGAGCGGAAACGGTTGCCTGAAGTTCGGCTATGATCTAAAATGAAAACGGCATGCTATGACTGCCAGCTCTTCACTGAGAGGCGTCTAGTTTACATGTATTTATGTGCGACAAAAGGTTGGCTTTGGCAAAACTCTACTCCACAAGCAAAAATATTTTCAATTAACATATCACACACCATAATGCCTGAAATTCCACACAATGAAACACGAGCAAAAAACTGTGAATGGTGAGCAAGTGCTGAACCAAATATATTTGGAAGATGTTCCCACTCTAACATTCCACACTGTTTACTCACCAGGAGAAAGAACATCTGTGATCTCAAAAATATCAAGTGCATCAGATCTTATTTTGCTGAAAAACACACTTACGAGAATGAGGAAAGCTGTTCTGCCCTTTAACAGAACAGTATGTTGAGCTGAGATCACTAGAGAAAAGAGTTCTTCACAGTCGCCTAGCTCTGCCCTGTAATTGTGGGCTGTTTACTCACTTTCCTGGATTGTGCTAAGGACCTTTGGGTTCTCATGTTAGCTACTCATGTGAGACAAACCTTAGTAACTATCTTCCATCAATGAGAAAACAGAAGCCTAGCAAAAGCTCCAACATTTCAGACGGCCGAAGATGCCACGGAGGAGACAGGTGGGGTGTGAACTGCGCAGTCAGATCAATCGGGCACTAACTGGTTCCTCCAACCAGTCACTCCTAACCACGGTTTTCAAAGACTGGAGAAAGGTTTAGTATGACATAATGAAGGTTCTTTTCTTCCTAACATACACATTTCATTAAGGCTTATATTGGTTCGAGGCATGTAATTTCTGAGACTCTGGCTGTGCAGTAGAGAAATGTAATCATGACTTGGGTCTCTCAAGTTCTCAAAGTATGTGCTTGATGAAGGGCCTGGTACATTTCATGGAAGGGGCTCGGCACAATGAAAGCACCGCTCTTCCTTCCATTTGTTACTGTTGTTATGTGCCGTTGAGTTTGATCCAACTCCTAGCTAACCCTCCAGGAGGCCTGCAGAGGATGTAAACTGCACAGGAGGTGACTGTCCATCTTTCCCGTGGAACAGCTTGGTGGATTCGAACCACTCGCCTTTTGGTTGGCAGCACAACTTCTTACCCACTAGGCCGCCAGAGTTTCTACTCCTTCAATTTGGATGGATTCACTTCCTTTAAAGCCAATGTGATAACTTTTTAAAATCAGAAAATGATTGTTTTTTCTAATCAAAGAGACAACACTGATCCTGGGTTAGAACACAGTTAATTGTGTTTGTTTTTTGGCAGGAATGCTGGCTAGAAAGAAACACTGGCTGGAGGAACCAATTAGTGCCAGTAATTTGTGCTTCTTGAACTCAGTTTTCTCAACAACTTCTTATGTTTGAACTAGATAACAATACTGTAAGACAATGATAGGAACGGTGTAGAGTTCCCCACAAGTCAAGTCCAATAGAAATCTAAACCATTACTATTGACATACATATTGTTGTTAGGTGCTTTTGAGTCCATTTTGACTCCCAGTAACCTCATGTGAGAAGGAGAAGTGTACCACAGAATTTTCTTGGCTATAGTTTACTAGAAGAAGAACACCAGGAGGTAGATTATCAGGTCTTCAAACCCATCCAGGTGAGTTTGAACCAGTGATGCATCTTGAGCAAAGGAACAGAGTCCCTTCTCCCATCCTGTGCGTCAACAACCACACAGGTCTGCTCCTCGGAGTCTCTGATTGGGTTTGATCTGCCAACCTGCTAATCAGCAGGTCTGCACTCAGCCATCTGTGCAAACTCATTCGCACAAACCAACATTTTGAGAGTTCATAAATGATCAAATATGAAAATAATAATAATAATAATAATAATAATAATAATAATAATAATATCAAATACACAATTGAACCCTTATAGAGGTTTACGTGAAGGGATTCATTGAGCATGAAGATGTTTTCAGAATTTTGCTCAAGTGCTCTTTACTCCAGCGCTAGCCTGGATTCAGTGACCCCTCACAGCACTGTGGTGATCCAGACAGACAAGGGTGAATTCCTACAGCAGATGTGACGCACAGGCTGGTGATCTCACGCACCCTCACTGAACAGGAGACGCTGGAGGGAAGCAGGAGACACCTTGCCTTGGTCCAACATAGAGTTGAAGAACACGGACCCTAAGAGTAAAAATAACTGCTGCTCCAATCTTTCCATCTGAATAAACCACAACTTCATAGAAGTGGTGGACTTATGTCTGTCACATATATGTGTTCTACACACTTTTACCACGTGGGTAGGCTTGCACACCTAAGACTGCAGGGCCATAGTTGTAAAATGCAAAGCAATATTGTCTCTTTGTAAAACACCAAGATTAAGATTTGCTTTCAAGTGATCAGAGACTGAAGATAAACATATTTTGGGCTACTTTAAATGACCACAAGGGCGGGAAGTAGAGAAGTCACATTGCAAGAGCACATCAAAAAAGCAAGCAAGCCAGCCAGGTTCTGGAAGGGGTTGCTGGCAGAGACCCGGATGTTCTGAGGAGGGCAGGTTTGCTTTTGTGTGCAAAACAAAACTTGACAGTCTCTGAGGGGATAATGAGAATCCTCGGGGGGAATATGACTGTGTCTCTGGAAACTGATTTTTAAAAAAGTATGAGGGTGATATGAGAGAGAATACTTCAGGTGGAACAACTTGGCTAGATTAATAGGTCGACAGCGTGCTTGACTGACAGGCTAATGGAAAAAAGGGGGCAGCCAAAAAGAATTTTTTTTTTTAAAAAGAGGATATATGGTTTACTTCAGACTGACAAGTAATCCTAATAACCAGATTAGTATGCTTTCCGTAAGTAACACTCTGTGTTACGTAAGAGTCCAACACAACAGAGTGAGCTCTCCTTCGCTCAATGCATACGACTGGCACTCAATACACATTCAAGTGGTGAAAACACACGATCGTGGTAAACATGAAAATACGACCAGCTGGCAGATGGCACTTGTGGAACCTACGCTTGTTACTGAGGCATCATGCTGCGACTTTCTGAGGAAATGAACACCAATCTGCACAATCATAATAAAAACTTTCCATTTTTAACAAAAATTCACAACCAAAATCTTGCCACTCAACTGCTTATCCTGTGTTAGCTTCAGAGAAAGAAGTTATTAGAATAATCACTTCCATATGGATATTGGAAATTCATACTTTGGTAGGCAAAAGGAGTACTATTTGGGGTCGATTCTGTTCCCAACCTGATGTGCCAACTGACGAAACTGCTGAATTGATAAGTACTGTTAAGTAATTTCTACTCTGCCTAAGTACAAATAATTTTACTTAATGTCTTAAAAATAACATTTTTTTTTCTAGAGAGTCAAGGTCTCCTCTTTAACCCACTCACTTGATTTTCAGATTACAATACAGTTTGAGAGTCTTAGAAAGCTCGTCCTTCAGCGGGAGCTCCCGTTGCCTGGTGGTTAAGAATTTATGCTGCCAACCAAAAGGCAAAGAGTTTGAATCCCCCAGCTGCTCCAAGGCAGAAAGCAGACAATCTTCTTCCATGCAGTTTAGAGCCTCTGAAAACCCACTGGAGGGACAGCTAAGAGTTGATTCCAATTCCATGGCAATGACTGACATTTTTACTTCCTTCAAATGCAACAGATAAAACGAAGCATACTGGGACGGGTAGGTAAACGCTGAAGGCCTTCCTAAAGCGGGGAGAACAGTGGATTCCTTGACACCTCTGCATTCAGAGTTATCACCCTGGAAGCGACAGCCACGTCGGAAGCAGGTGGGACATGTGGGACCACGCCCACGCATGATCTGCACACAGTGCATGAAGCCAGAATGGGCAGCAGTGAGGCCAGACAGTGGGTGGGCTCAGCTGGCAAGCCAGCTTTCGTCTTCGCATTTCCACCTACATATGTTCTTGCAAAATAGCAATGCCTTAATGCCTTCCTTTGAAAAATGGCCAAGAAGTGAGTCATTTGAGTGAGGAAAATCATATTAAAATTTAAAAGGGAAGGTTAATGTGTATAGTAAGGTATAAAGAACAAATGGGTGGCTCTGAAGGAAATGGTATTTGGGAACATGCTTACTTAGAGCTGCTCCCAACATTTTCATCATGGTGCTCTGGGAGAATCCCAGAGGTGAGACACAGGCCTCAGCTGTGCCAGGACGTCGGGCTATTCAGACCCTTGACCAAAATCTTAAAGCCTGAGTAACTTCTTTTAAAGAAGGAAAATATTCAAACTATTTTCCAAAAACCCCAAGAATCTCCTGGGTACCAAGGTATTTATTACTAGTGCATTCGTTTTATTACAGGGTTGGGCTGGTTTATTTATTTATTTATTTATTTTTGAGAGGAGGATTTTTAAAAATCTGATTTTTGCTTAAATCTGATAAACAGAGTTAAACATCTTTGCTTCTGGTGTTCTCATCAGCTTAAGGATTTCAGCAAACTGTCACTTGAAAACAGAAAAGCTGATCCACAGTTAAGTTTTAGAACACTCATTTTAAAGTACTCATAATGCGGAACAGAATTCCTCAAATGCCAGTGTGTGTGTGTTTGCTCTGGTAAGTGAAGGGTCAGTGGTTTGAATCCACCAGCTGCTCATCGGGGGAAAGGTAGGCTCTCTTCTCCTATAAAGATTCAAAGCTTGAGAAACCTGATGGAGTTGAGACTGACTTGATGGCAATGGGTCTGGGAGACCGATGTGTGTGGTGGTTTTGGTTTTTTTTGTTTTGTTTTGTTTTTTTAAAGATATCTCTCTCTCTCTCTATCTCCATATCTATCTATCTATCTATCTATCTATCTATCTATCTATCTATCTATCTATCTATCTATCTAAACACACTTATATATGATAGTTAACAGTTAGTTTACTTGGTTCCACAGTCAACACTCTTGGTAACAGCAGCCAGGAAATCAGGAGACGAATTGCGTTGGGAAAGTCAGCTGTGAGGGACCTCTCAAGAGTACTGAAGTGCAACGATGCCAGGCTGGAGACTAAGGTGCGCCTGATCCCGGCTCCAGTCTTTGCAATTACATGCTATGCATTGGTGAGTTGGACAGTGAATAGGGATGATAGAAAGAGAATTGATGCCTTTGAGTTGTGGTGCTGGAGAAGAGTGATGGATATACTGTGGACTGCTAGGAGAACAAACAGGTTTGTCCTGGAGACGGTGAAGCCAGAATGTTCCCTGGAGTCAAGGATTCTGAGGTTTCATCTAACATACTTTGGGCATGCTGCAAGGAGGGAATGGTCCTTGGAGAGGGACATCATGTTCAGGAGAGTGGAGGGACGGCGCAGGAGAGGAGGACCCTCGATGAGATGGATTGATTCTGTGAGTGGAGTGGTGGGAATGAATGTGTTTGAGACAGCGAGGTTGGCACAGGATAGAATGGCGTTTAGGGCTCTTGTACATAGGGTCGCTATGAGTTGCAAATGACTCAATGGCACATAAAAACAAAATATAATATATGGCGGTCTGGTGGCCCAATATTAAGAAGCTGTGCTGCAATCCCAAAGGCACATAGTTTGAATCCAGCAGTTACTCTGCAGGAAACGGAGGGACAATTTCTTCCCATATGATTTACTGCCTCTGAAAATGCACTAAAGGATCAGCTATAGGTTGGATCTGACCTGATGGCACACCTCAACCACAACCACGCACATATACTTGTACTAGTACAGATATATTGATATAGTTTAGAAATAAATATATGTATATAATAAACTTAAAGGCGTATTTATAAAATGTATCTACATAACAGGAAGTTCTAGTATCTACATAGTGTCTTCTAGTATCTAGTATGTATCTACATAACAGGGAGCCAGGGTGTAGGAAGTTGTACTGTCAACCCAAAGACGGGTAGTTCAAATCCATCAGCTGCCCTGCAGGTGAAAGATGGGCCATCTCCTCCCGTATGATTTACTACTTCCAGAAACCTACTGGATGACCAGCTGTTAATTGGTTCTGACTCAACAGTAATGAGTTGAGCTGATCTATAGAACAAATGATGATATATAACAATATAGTATTCATGTAGAGGTGGGAAAAATATTAGTAATGACAGATTATCATCTTATCTTTTATGAAAAGGACTATCTTTTGTTATTAGGACTCTTTTGGTGTTAACATTCTCATTTATTAAATCACAATTATAGTATATGATAGCTGCTGCTATTTTCATTTTTCCCTTTGGTTTGGGAAAACAGTAAATAATCTTGTGTCACTCCAAATTTTGGAGGTGTTGTTGTTATGTGCCGTCGAGTCACTTGCGACTCATAGCGACCCTATGTACAATAGCCCTAAACCCTGCTCTATCCTGTGCCAATCTCACTGCCTCTGACACACCCATCCCGAATATCCCAGTCACTGAATCAATCCACCTCATAGAGGGTCTTCCCCTCTTGCGCTGTCCCTCCACTTTGCCCAGCATGATGTCCTTCTCCAAAGACCTGTCTCTCCTTACAACATGTCCAAAGTATGTCAGGCGAAGCCCCAGAATCCTTGCCTCCAAGGAGCAGCCTGGTTTAACCCTCTCTAGGATGGTAGATTTTATTAATTCTTAAGCACCAAAAATCTAGGAATCACTCAACAGAGCACCTCCAAACAATACAGAGATCAAAATAGAAGAATACAGGGGAAAAAAGTCAGGGGTGAGAGTACTTGGAGTTGAAAAGATAGGCTTGAGTCTTACTCCATAAGACGCCAATATTCTGACTCTGGGAGAAACTACTCACTTTCCATGGGCCTCAGTTTCCACACCTATAAAGTGGGAGTACTACTACCCATTAATTTGATCTAGCGAGTTCTGGTGGCCTTGTGGGAAGAGGCTGTGCTGCCAACCTCAAGGTGATCTCCTCCTGTGTGATTTACAGCCTCTGAAAACCCACTTGAGGCTCAAATACAAGTCAGTTCTGACTGGAAAACACAACCAAGGAAACCCTTCTGAGAACCCCAGAATATCTGAATAAACAATCCTTCTCGCCTTCTAGACACTATTTATTTATCTCTTCCTTTCCGTTTTCACCTTTCTTATGTTGTTGTTATGGGGCGTCACCTGGAACTCACAGCGACTCTATGGACAGAGTGAGCCCTGCCCTGTGCGGCACCGTGAGGACAGTGTTCACCACGCTGCTGCCCACTGTTACAGCTCTGTCCATCATCCTGTTGACGGTCTTCCTCTCTTTCTCCAACCCTCCGTCTTTCCAAGCATGATGTCTCTTTCCAAGGACCGGCCCCTCATGAAAGCATGCCCTAAGTGTGTGAGATGAAGCCTCACCATCCCTGCCTCGAATGAGCAACTTGGCCGCACTTTCTCCAAGACAGACTCGGGTTTGGTTGTTGTGTTTTGTTTTGTTTGTTTGTTTTTTGTAGTCCACAGGACGTTCCATATTCTTGGCGAACACCACAACTCAAAGGTATTGACTCTTCTTGCATAATCCTTAGTCATGGCCCAACTTTCAGATGCATAAAAGCAACTGAAAATACCCTGGCTGGGATCGGGCACACTTACGTCTTTACACCGACACTGCTGTTTAGCACTTCGGACGAATCCCTGACGGCAGATTCATCCCAGTGCAACATGTCTTTTGACTTCTTGACTGCTGTTACCATGAGTAATGACTGCTGATACTACTCTTCTAACAACCCAGTGCCCCTGAGCCGGCCCCTGCTCATGGGGACCCCTCACCAGGTTTCTGAGGCTGCAAATCTGAATGGAGTAGACTGTCCCATCCTTCTCTTCCTCTGCACTGGCTGGCGGGTCTGAATCACTAACCTTCCGGTTTTAAGAGCTGCAGTTAACTAGACAGCACCTAACGACAACACCGACACCGTAAGAACCTTCTGGCTGCCCAGAACGAAGGCTGCATACTGGACTTGGGGGGAGAGATTGTATAATAATGAGAGAATTTTTCTTTTACTTTTCAAAATGAAGGCTGCATAGTGGAGTGGACCTGGGGGTAGGGATTGTATAACAACGAGAGAAATTTTCTTTTACTTTTCAAAGAGCAGAGTGAGTGAACTGAAGGCAGGGGGAGGTCAGGCAGGGAGAAAAGTGCAACAATGAATACACGGAAATCCAAAGTCTCTGTAAATGTTCATTAAAATTAATAAAAAAAAATAATCAAATTTTAAAAAAGAACCTTTTGGTTGCAGCCCCCATGGACTATACCATACACCACCACAGCTTCTTGCTAAGTGTTGTTAACTGTATTATGAAGTAGGCACTGTCCTCTGCACTCTTCCAGCATTGTTTTATTAAGTACTTAAAACAACCATATGAGGTAAGTACGCCTCCTTCATTTGACAAATGAGGAAATTGGATTCCAAAGAGCCCAGGTAACTCGCTCAAGGTCATGGAAGTGGTAGGGCTGGCATTCAAGTTCAGTTCGACCTAGGCTTTCTTCTACACTAAGGAAGGTTTAATTTGTGTGAGTATCCACTAATCAGGCTTCTGCAAATACTCCTTCAGCTCAACTTAGGGACTCCTGTTTATATTCTCATTAATTAAGCATTTTTATTTGCTATCTTTCATCTCACTCTCGGTTTACCTCCCCCATTTAACAAAAAGCAAAAGACACTGAGTGTCAAGGATAAGTCAGCAAGATCAACTGTTAGAGTAAGATCTCTTTTTTTTTTGTCTGAGAGTCTTTCTTCTCAATGGATTAAAAAGGGTATCTCCCTATGACCTATCCTCAAAGGAGGGCTGGAGTAATGGCAATTAAGACATGACCGTCGTCTTTTAAAGAAATACATCTGATTCTTCACTTGGACAAAGGCAGAATGCTTTCCTAATGCACTGTATTATATAACACACGCGTGCTTTAGCAATAATTGTCGAATCTCTGAAATTTCACAATAGCCATTAACTTTCTGCCATATTAAAAATGAAAGAGACTGGGGCAGGCTGCTGTCAAAGTTAAGAGCGCCTCCTTTGAAGTCTGATCCAGGTTGGCCCTGACTTTGGTCACTTACTAACTTCACTTGTGTAACCTCACATCTCTGAGTCTGTTTCCTCAGTTGGAAATACAGAGCCCACAGCAGCTGCCAACCTGAGATACTGTGAATGAAGACTGAAGGAGACACCATGAGAAGAGCCTCCGAAATACAAATACTGCTCCGGTTTTGATGTTCTCTTGCTGTTCCTGTTTTTATGAGCCAATTCATAAAATAAATAGTACATGAATTCCAATTTATGACAATATGTCACTGTATAGATGCAAAAATAGCAAAATACTAAGGGGGGAAAAAAACGAGCTAAAATGACTAGTTGTGATGCCCACTAAACCAAATGGCTTCATTTATCCACCTGAAAAATGAAGATGAGTAATGTTTATTTATTCCAAAATAACTCATGCAGCAAGCGAGGCCTGGGATTCTCGGAATGGAACTGAAGGCGAACCCCCTGCCTCCTGCAGAGAGCATGCCAAGCATCCCACTGCAGGTAGAGGCAAGCACTCAACTGCTGGCCTTTCTCTATTAAAACTACTACGGTAACGACAAGCAGCAAAATGTGCACAGAAGGAGTTACACTTTCCCCCTCCAAAGGAGTCAACAGCTGAGCTGCTGATTTGACGCAGGATTATTAGTTGTTTTGAATCCTGCCGATAAGGAGCCTTGAGGTGCAGCAAAATGAATACTGAAGGGGTAAGAAAAAAAACAAAAACCACTCAGATGGCATCGAACCGCTTACATCACAGATGCAAGTGCCTCCTGCCCTTGTGAAATCGCTTGAGCCTGGGCTTGTTCAAGTGTACGGGCTGGTTTTACAAGGTCTGAGTTGAGCTGGAGTGTGAGTGTGTGTGTGTGTGTGTGTACCTTGTGTGTTTTGAGTATGCCTATTTCCCCCTTATTTTTCTAATAAGAATGAACTATTCAAGGCAAATTTTATTTATGCATAGAGCCATCACATGCATGATATTAGGTGAAAAGAATTAACTTTAATGCTTTTACATGAGTGCTTCTCACATTGCCTACCTGGGTAGATTTGGCAAGCTTCTGCGTGTATTCCTTCTCAATCTGCTTCAGTTTGCTGTTGGCCTGAAAAACACAGGGACATGAACACACACGGTGACCTGTGAGCTCGCTGTCTCTCCCACATGCCTATCAGCAGGCAGCGGGCCGGCCGCCAGCTGCACCACCCTTCTGGGACAGCCAGAAAACCACAGGGCTGGTCTTTGATCTGGAGCCAACTATTCATCACTTAAAAAGGGAGAAGGGGGGGAAAGGGGCTCTCCTGCCAATTATTAGACAAACACAAGACTTCTGTGGGTAGAAAGAGAAAGGGGGGAAGGAGGCAGAAATAGACACAGCAGAAGTGTGAAGACCCAGAAGATAACATGGGGTTGGGGGAAGAAGAGAACGAAATGAGGAGGGTCTGAGGGATATGTGGTGAGGGAAGTGGGGGAGACTGATGTGAAGGCTAACGCAACACTCTCTTCACTGGAGCCTGAAGCCTCTGTCTTTCACCTCTGTTTAAAGATAAGACAGACGCCCCTGGACAAAGATGGACTTGAGCTCTTGTCAGCTGGGAGCGAGTCTTTACTTTGCCTCCAACCCGAGAGGCCAAACTCCAAATACCAAGCCCGCTGTTGCTCTTGAGGCAACTGCAAGTTGTCAAATAATTCTTATGTCATAGGACTGGTGTGATCCTTCCAGAAAGTGCCACACTATTCCCAACTAGGTTACCTCCTTTATTATTCAAATTCCTATTTCTCCAAAGCCCTGAGTGTTTGGGGTCTCATTCTATCTGCAGTGCCAGGTAATGTCCTAGTAACACGTCCAGGACGGGAGAGGAAGTCTCCCCCTCAGCCGGGAGGTGCTGAGAGACCCTTTCTCTCTGAGCTTGGGGACCTTCATTTCTGGGGAACGCTTGGTCACTGCTCATGGTGCCTGTCTCTCCTTCTCCCCTGTTCGACGTACTCTCTGCAAGTCTGTTTACCCCTCACATTTACCATACTTTTTTATTCATTATTTTCTGTTTTCCATTTCTCAGTCTCTTGGATATTCTTTGATATTTCTTAGTGATTTCCTCAACTTTTCATTTTCAATTTACTATTATTATTTTTTTAAAAAATAAGATCACACAAACCAGACCAGCTCTGTCATCATATTGGTAATTCCCGAGGGTTCCTTCTGGTTCTCAGCACCATTCTGATCACCCGGTATCTTAAAAATGAAGCACTGTAGGCAAGCTCTGGTGGCCTAGTGGCAGGAAGCTGCACTGCAATCCCAGAGGTGTGCGGTTCAAATCAACCACATGCTCTGCTGAAGAAGGAGGGACAATCTCCTCCTGTACCAGTCAGATCTGATTTGACAGTACCACATAAAAAAGAATAATTTAAAAAATGTAAAAAAAAAAAAAGAAGCAGTGTAGGCACAGAAGAGGGAAGCCCAGTGTCACACAGCCTGGAAGTAACGGAGCCAGGACTCCACATCACATCCCCCGGCTCCAGAACACAGGTGCTTTCTCAGCCTGCATGCAGTGCGGGCCTCTCAATACAGTCAGCATTATTATTAGCCCTATTACTGGGTGCTTTGATGGTCTAGTGATAAGAAGTTGCACTGCAACCCCAAAGGCATGCAGTTCGAATCTACCAGCTGCTCTGTGGGAGAAAGACGAGGAAGCTTCTCCTGTGCAATTTACTGCCTCTGAAAACCCACTGGAGGGTCAGCTATGAATTGGTTCTAACGCGAAGGCACACAACACCCACCACCACCACCACCCGCCCCCACAATTTTTTCTTCTATTTCTTCTTGTATCTGTTTTTCTTAGTGCCGTTTATTATGTACTTTTACCAGCTTGCTTTAGTCTCTTACATTTTAGATACTTTCCGCAAATGCCTGGTGACCTCTGGCATTCTTATATAAAGTGAGGCCTTCAAAAAAGTGAGTTTTCCACCACCACAAGATAAAGGTCAATAACCCAATGGTAAAACGGGCACAGGATATGAACAGACACTTCACCAAAGAAGACATTCAGATGGCCAACAAGCATATGAAGAAATGTTCAAGATCCCTAGCTCTAAGAGAGATGCAAATCAAAACAACTATGAGATATCAAGTCATCCCTGTAAGAACAGCAAAATTTAACAGAACAGTAAACATAAAATGCTGGCGAGGTTGTGGAGAAACTGGAACCCTTATTCACTGTTGATGGAAGTGAAAAATGGCGCAACAACTATGGAAGGTAGTATGGCACTTTCTCAAAAAGTTACAAATAGAGATACCATTTAACCCAGCAATTCCATTACTAGGAATATACCCTAAAGAAACCATAACTGCCACCCAACCAGATAAATGCACACCCATGTTTATTGTGGCTTTGTTCAAAATAGCAAAGAGTTGGAAACAACCCAAGTGCCCATCAACAAACAAATGGATAGAGAAGCTCTGGTATATTCACACAACAGAATATTATGCTGCATTGAAAAACAAGGAATTCATTAAATATTATACAGAATCAATGATTCTGGAGGACATTATGCTGAGTGAAATATCTCAGGCACAAAAGGACAAATATTACATAGTGCACTGTTGTAAAATGGGACTGACATCAGGTTGAGGAGAGACTGAAAAAAAGGGAGTAATTTATACTGCATTGAAACAGATGAGGGAGAGAACTGTTTAAAGCGATATATGATTAGGTATTATGACAGGAGTCCAGTATGAAGGCTGCATAGTGGAGTGAACTTGGGAGAAGAGACTGTATAACAATGAAAGCATTTTTCTTTAACTTTCCATAGCGAAGAGTGAATGGGGAAGGAGGGGTGGGCAGCAAGAAAAACAAAATAATAAGTGAATGGAAATCCAAAGTCTCTGTTAACTTTCATGAAAATTAATTTTTAAAAAATGAGTTTTCATTGCTATCACGGGGGAACTGACTTATAGCGGACCCTCTGTTTGGGTGTCTGAGGCTATAAACTGCAGGGGAGGAGATTGCCCATCTTCTGTGGAGCTTCTGATGAATTAAAATCCCCAGAGAGGTGCGGCCTTTGACTGAGCAGTGCAATGTCCTATGGATGACGCCAGCCAAGCAACCTTCAAGAGTTGTACAGACGCTCAGGCCTCCCTGGCCTGGTCTGGGAAGGTGTGAACGTCAGGCCAGGGTGTTGGAAAGGGACCATCTCCCCCCTCCAGTAAATATCTGCCTGGACTTTCCTCCCAGAGCCGCGTCCTCCTGGATAGAAACAGATCGTTGGGCAATGTTCTCAGAAGGACCCTGGGCGTTGAGGCTTTCGAGTTGCACATGGCTCTGTGTTCACCTCTGCCCTCAGCTCTACACTGTTTACTGCTTTTGGAGTAAACCAGGTATGGTGACGGGTGCAGTTACAGGATCAAGTCCGAGTCCCCCGATGTGGGTCACCTGAACGCCCTTATACAGACTTCAACCATTCTGCCTGTTCTCTACCCAGGGATGGCTTTACCCAGCAAGCAAATCACACACAGGCTTAATTATGCTTACTTACTCATCTGCAGTAAACAATTTGACCTGAGCTTCACACCCAGGTGAAATTGTTTGCCACAGAGATCCAGGTGAAACTGTTCACTAGAGATTAGGAAGTAAGCACAATTAAGCCTGTGTTTACCAATGACCCCGCCCGGCTCTACCCACAGCCAGGTCCCCCCACTGCTGAGCCTCTCGACTCTGCAGCAGGAAGCAGTGTGCTGGTTCAGTGTTCTCGAGAAGCACCTGTGAGTGGATTCCAACTCAGCCGTCTACTGGTAAAAAGAAAACTTGTCGCTTATTGGTCTTTGCTGTGAGAATTCTTTTAGGTTGAGCTGTCATCAGTAAACGCTTCGAGTTCTCTTCCCTTTGAGCAAGCAGAACTGTGTCACTTGCACACTGCAGTCTTGCAGTCTTCTTCAAACAGCCTGGCTTCTTGGATTATTTGCTCAGCATACATACGGAATGAGCAGGGTGAAAGCATACAACCCAGGCACACGACTTTCCTGATCTTCAACCAACCGGAATTCCCTTGTTCCTCGCGAGCGAGTATCTCTCAGTCCATGTTCAGGTTCCGCATGGGAACAATTAAGCTTTCTGGAAGTTCTGCTGTTTACAGTGTTACTGGTAACTGGCTATGATCGGCATGGTTGCTGCCTTAGAATAGTCAGTAAAACACAGAGCAAGCATCTTTCTGGTCTTCTTTGCTTTCAATCAAGATACCAAGAGAACCCTTTGGTATTAGAGCTCTTGGTTTGCTCCTCCTCACCCCCCAGGTTTTTTCAGTTTGAGAAATGCCAAGAATGGTTTTCCTTTGAGGTTTTCTAAGTCTAGGTCTTTGCATATTATGTACATGGTCTCGTAGGCTGCCCTCTGAAATCTTCTGTTCATCTCTCTCATTTCTTTCATTTTAGCCACTCTCCGTACAAGAGCAAATTTGAGCCTCTTCTGACATAAATCTTGGACTTGCCCTTCTTTCCAGCTCTCCCCCCATGTATGGACACCCCACAACTTAATGTCACCCCACAACTGGTTTTCGGTCCTTAGTGTTGAGTGTGTCAAGTTTATCCTTGAGGTGGTCTCTTAATTCACACAGGATGGACTCAAGGTTGAGCTTTGAATCTCTGGGAATGTTTTAATATTTTTCTACTTCCACTTAAATTTGCATATGCGCAGCTGATGGGCTGTTCCACATTTGGTCTTGGTTCTTCGGTATCTCCTTCCACAGATGTGTCTATACTCCATCCAGTGAGATCCATATGGACAGTTGTCATTCACACTGCTGAGAAGAGGTATTTGCAATGAATATGCCTTTGGTTTGGCGAAATTCTGCTCTTCAGTCTACGGCGTTATTTGTATTAAAAAGGCATTACTGATTCTAACCGTGTGGTTGTTAGGTGCTACTGCATCGGACCCGACTGGCCCACAGCGACCCTGTGGACACTAGAACTCAAGACGCCTGTGTGTCTTCACAGTGATTGTGATATCGGAGCCCGCTGTTGCCACCACAGAGCAGATTCAGTTTGTTGAGGGGCTTCCTTTTGTCACTGACTCTACCAAGTATGATGTCCTTTCACAGGAACTGACCCCTCCT